GGTTCAAAATCCAAGCTCCCTGGAAATCACCAGCCCAGACAACCCACCACCATCTTCCAGCCATTGCATCTCCTCATTCCAGGGCCCGGCACTTAGGGAGGTTCAAATCCAAGCTTCTCCTCTTCCTGGGATCTTGGACTAATTGCGTAATCTTTACTTACAGTAGTTAACTGATCTACAGATGAAGAAAGTATGTTGTGTGGGATAAAGGAGATATTTTGTATATGTTTTCAGCATGATGTCTTGTCCACTTCAAGGGAGAGGTCAAGGTCAGCTTTTATTACTATCATATTACTATGGAGGAATGAAGCTCAGTACAACAGGCAGAGGGGAGGACAGATAACTCCTCAGGGGGATGCCTGACACCACTGTGAGTACACAGAGTGTCCATAAAAACTCTACCCAGTTTCAAAGAGTTATTCATAAATTCTTCGACCTTCCTCCCACTGGGAGATGGGTTGAGTTCTACTCACCATTCAAAGCAAGTGGGCTTCTGTGATCATTTCAACGAACAGTAAGAGCCACTGGAAAAAGATACACGACGTGTTTTGCTCACTAGGACACTTGTTCGTAAAACCTTCGGGTGTCAGTTAAGCACCTACTGCCTAGAGCCGCCATATTGTGAGGAAGCCCAAAGTGGCCTGGGCAGAAACACCACATGAAGAGGCCCCAAATCCACGAGATTCTGGGCCAGTGTCCACTGCTCCAGCCCTGCCTAGTTCTAGTTTCTAGCCATAGAATAACACCAATAATACAAGGAAAACCAAACCAGAACCACTCAGCCAGTCTCTCCTCAAATCCCTGACCCACAGAAGCCCTGAGAGCAAATACAAGGAGTGGTGCCCTTTTATGTCATTAAGTGTTAGGTGACTTGTTGCACAGCATAAGGGAAAAATAATGTCCATAACGGGTGCAGAAGTCCCTCAGAGTTAGGTTCCCACCAACTTCCTCATTTCATCCTAATAATTGCACTGGGAAGAAAATGCTATTATTCTCACTTGATAATGCTGCAGACCCCCAGGGGGTAAGTGGATTGCCAAAGGTCACATGACAAGTGAGTGAAATTGGCAAGTCTCCTGTTTGGGAATTGTGACTCCAGTTGCAGTGACTTTTTCTGTTGTACCACTGTCAACTCTCAGAGTAGAACAGACCACAAAGACAAAAAAAAATACACACATGGAAACGCATATAGGCTGGAGTGAAGGTCAAGAGGGCAGCATTATGCTCCAGGCTCCCAGGCAGAGAGACACCAGGCCTTCCCCACAGCAGCACTGGCGGGCAACAGAATATGCAAGAATAAAATGGGCAGTGTTTGAAGGCCACATAATTAGGAAATGACGAGAGGGCACAGGGTCTGGCGAGGCCCATGGTTTCCATCACCAGACATCTCAGCTGACAGCTTGGATGTCATTACAGTAGAGTTTTCAGAAATACTTGTCAGAGCCAGGAGAAGTTTCAGCTCAGTCACAGATGACTGTGACGTCCTCGGCTCGTGGCCCTGCACTCTGATGAGACGTCAAGAACAGCAGCAACACTCGTAGTGGGAAAGTGCCAGGAGGAAGAGAAGCTTCTGCTTCGAGCACAATGACTGACATTTCTCGTTTGCCTCTTTGGCTTTTTCACGAAAATGTTCCGTCGAGTGACAGGGACAGGGGTGTACTGGTAATGGGTATGAAGCCAGTGCCTCTGTGTAAATGCACATGGCTGAAAGCTGCTTTGCCTCTAGAGAGTTTTCAAACGCATGCACCGAAGCTCTGAATAGGACCAGGCTCCATATGCAAGAATTCTACCAGAGAAGGATGGTTTTAGGGTATAAGCAGAAACTTGATCAAGAAATACTGAGAAAGAAAAGAAAAATGAGCAAATACAAGCTAACCCTCAGGTGCAAATCAAAAGTCCAGAGAGTAAGTGAAGGTAAGAGCTAAGAATTTCAAAGTCTAAATTCCTACATTGCTACTCTATCTTCAAAGAGCATAGAAATAGAGAACTACATCTTTCGTTTTTCTTGTTCCTTGAAGCAGTGGGTTCCAAATATTTTTCACTATCTCAGAATCACCTGGTTAGACTTTTTTTTTTAATACTAATTTTGCTGGGCCCTACTCCCACAGCTTGTCAGTCTGTAGGTATGCACTGGGCCCCAGGTATCAGCATATCTAATCCATAGCAATTTTAATGCACACCCAGTTTGGGAGTCACCCACATGAGTGACCGAGAATGTTCCTTGTGACCATAGTTGTGGAACTCTCAAATGGTAGTGAAAAGTATGGCTTCCCCGAATAAAATCTCTTTTCCAGCCTTGTATCTAGGTGGCAGTTAAGGGCAGCCTTCTGCTTTGCTCACAGGGTCTGAAAGGAACACAGGTGTAAAATCGGTAGGGTATATTCTTAAAGGAGGCACAAGTCCCACCTTAACACCTCTCTCCTGCCCTCTGGAATATGGACACCATACTGAAGCTCTGATACTCATTACTCACCATGAGATAAACCATGGCAATGCCCAGTCAGCAACATGGGGTAAAATATCAAATAATTCAGAATATGGATATTTACATCCCCACATCACTCTCCTCCAGTCATCTTAACCACAAAGAGAAATAAGGCGCAAATCTTGCTTAAGCCGTTGTTAGATGGAATTTTTTGGTTATTTGCAGGGAAATGTATTGCTAACACAACTAGCTATCTTAAAGTCCCTCTCCAATCCTAATATCCATAGTCACCACTAAAATAACGTGAGGCAGGAACTTGATATAAATCCACAATTTGCAAATGAGGAAAATGAGATGCAGGAAAGAGATATTCCATGCTCAAAGCAATAAAGCTAGTTAGCAAGGAAGGAGACCAGGATTTAGACTCATGACCCTACCTTCAAAGCCAGTGCTGTTTTGCCTACACTATTTTGCAGGGGACTCAGGACAGAGACCCACTTCCAAAATAGTTCTCACAAAGCTGAGCTGGGGAGGGACACCCTGGCTAGGCAGACACAGCAGGAAGAGAATGCTCCCAGCAAGCTACACTCATGTGGCCTTCTGTTACACTGTGTCCCCTCCCATGCCCCAGACTTTTCCTTTTCTATTTTCTTATCTCCTTGATTCTTAGTTCTCTGGCAGGACTGAATCATAAAAACGTTAACGGTTCACATTCTAGGCCAAACCAACCTTGTCAGCAGGTTTCCATCTAAACTCATCCACTCAAAACTAACACCATGGCTGTGACTGATAGCAGAGAACCTGTGAAAAATCACTTGAGTCTTCACTCTTCCAAGGTTAGAGGTTCCCAAAGAAGTTAGGGTCCTGCCAAAGTTAAGAGCCCCCTAGGTCAAGGGGATGTGTTACCACTGTTCTGTCCCCCATTTGCAGAGGTGTAAAATGTAGACATTAAGCTACAGAAGAGACTAGCAATGCTTTTCCAGGATGGAAGGAATGGGCCTGCAGGGTGGTTGGGGCTGAAAAATGTACCACATGCATCACTTGCTGACATTGATACTTCTTTATTTGTTTATCACCTGCTTCCTGCCACTTCCTGCCGCCTCCCAGTGCAGAATATAAGAAGCAGAAGAAAGGGAGTTTCATCTTCTTTATTCACTGCTATTCGCAGCACAAGAGATGGTGTGAGATCCCCAAGCGGGTGCCCTAGAGGTGCTGAATGGAGGACTGAATGTTGACGGATCCCCTCCCAGGTCTCTGGGCTTGGCTGCATGAGCAGTGCCAGGTCCTGAATTCCTCATCTTTCCTACTCCGTGACAGTCCTCCTCACACATCTTCTACCGCCTTTCTCCACCTCTCTGCCAATCTACAGTTAAACCAGGCTGCAACTATCCTCAGAGACTCTCGTGGTCTGCTTCAGTCGGGAGCTTCTTCCCTCACAGCTGAATTTCCTTAAAACTCACTCTTCATCACTGAAAAAAACCTGCATTCCCTACAACATACTGAACAGGACCACAGATATTGCTAATGACCCATTCTGATGGTCAGAGGCTGTGGCTCAATGTGCTACCTCTTCAGGGAGGTCAGAGTCTAACATTCTTGAGTCCAGAAAACAGAATAAAGTAACAGCAGGTGATATCTGCATTTAACTGAAACTAATACAAATTACGCACATTTGAAAATGTACTACATAGCAGGCAGTGTTCATGGCTTTTAAATGGCTATTCCATTTTATTCTCACACAGATGCCATGAAGCAAGATTTTTCTCTGAAGAGTACTGACAACATGTCTCAGGTTCAGAGAGGTTGGGTAACTTGCTCAAGGGCTCATAGCAAAAACCATCAAAGCTCTGCTCTGAACTCACTCTTGTCCATCTTGTCTGTGTCTCAAAAGGCCTTGAGATTGACAGGCAAGAAGCAATAGGAAGTGTGTGAATGACTGTGTGTGTGTGTGTGTGTGTGTATGTATCTTCATTGTAGAAATCAGCACGGATGCAGGAGTTCCAGGGTGGCAGGGGCAGTCTGCACTTATGGGAAAGTCTTCCAAGTTTCCAATGTGTTATTAGGAAAGAAGGTGTACTCTAAAAGGGAGGAAAAGATATGAAACTAGAAAATCTCAAATGACCGCTGTAGCTGAGCAACAAGTCTGATTCTGAACAGCAGAGGCCTCATGCCCTCAATGGAGAATGAGGCTAAGAGAACTAACAGGCTCCAAACTCCACCATACACACTATAGTCTAAGTGACAGCGGACCCCCAAGATGATAACTAGGTATAGAATTCCTGAGCATGTGCAAAGGAACCAGGTGGCAGCGCCCATCCTATAGCGCCCCTTAAATCTCTGTGGACTAGGTCTTTGTATTCCCATTTTCCCAGCAGGAAACTGAGTCTCAGTGAGCTTCAATGACTTGCCAGACCTATCACCCAAGCCAGGGTTCAAGTCACTTCGCATCCAGGTCTGAGTCAAGAATGCCAACTCTTTCCAGGACCTGGATGTGCTTCCAGCTGGCATCTGTAAGAAATGGGGCACCTGGGGCTGTATGTGCCACCCCCATCCCAGGGCCCTAGGTGCTCTTTACCTCACACTTCTCCACCACCGGCTGCTGCCCACATTCGGAGCTGTTGCCTGCCACGATGCCAGCCCGCAGGTTCTCGCTGTCCCCAGTGCCCTCCTCCATGGAGTAGGTCCTGGAGTGGTTGCCTCGACGGTGCGCGGGGCCGCGGCCCTGGGCCAGGCTGAGCTGCCTGCGCAGCGCGCGGTTCTCGGCCTCGACCTCGCGCATGCGCACCTCCAGGCTCTCGCGCTCACGCTGGCTGGAGGCTGCATAGCGGGGACTGTGAGCTTGGGACTCCAGCGGTGACAGGGACACGGGCTTCCCATCTGCAGAGACACCAGGGAAAGTTTGAGTCAGAAGTAAACGCACCTCCCCTGACACCCACTGCTATCTATATAGGCTCCTTCCCCATTGCATTTCTTTTTTTTTAATTTTTGGAGATATTTATTAAGATAAAGGAAAATTTAAAATAAACTTTTAAGTTTTTATAGTGTTAGATTTACAAAATGCTGTGAAGAAGATAGGGTTCTTATATATTCTATGCCTGGATCCTACTGTTATATTATACATTACATGCATTAATTGTTATCTAATATATAGCCATATATAATCTTACATATCTTACAGCACTACATTTCAGCCAATGAAGCAATATTGATACATTACTATTAACTAAAGTCCATGCTTTATTCAGACTCCTTAGTTTTTTTAAATTTTTAAAATTTGTTTTAATTAGTTATACATGACAGTAGAATACATTTATGCACTTTGATATATCGTGCATAGATGGGATATAATTTCTCAGTTTTGGGAAAAGCAAATGCAACAAAAATTATGTATAAATACATCCAGAGTAAAGTAAGAACAGAGTTGAGAGCAGAATGACTTATTATGGTAATAAAAACTTAACATGCTGTTTAAAGATCACAATCATAATGCAATCATTAGGACCTCCTCTATGTACATGTTTCCAGGTAGACAATCTTAACCCCAAAGCATGGTGAATATGGAGAGAGGGAAGGAAGAGACTGGAAGGGAATAGTATGAGGAAGTGGAAAAGAGCAAAAGAGGAAAAGAAGGAAGAAAAAGAAAATAATAATAGGACTAAGTGTATTGAGGTATTCTTATGTGAACTCCTATTCATCCTTCAAAACCTGGTTTTAAAACCATCACCTCTCAGGGAAAACATTCAATGCAGGCAAAATGTCCTTCAGTATATTCCAGCAGCAATTTGTACACAGCGCAAGCAATTTTTACATAGCATTATGAAAACATGTATCTGTCATGCTGGAAGGGAAGATGCATGTATCAATGCCAAGAGCAAAATAATTAAGAGCAATAAAGAAGAAGAAAGTAGGAACATGACTGATCTCCCAGTTTTCTCAGAAAAAAAAAAATTACCACCAGCACAGCAACACTGCATGTGACAATCATCCAACCCTCCAACAGAAACCTAGGACACACAGATAAGTAGGTCCCTCAGAGTCTCACAACCAGAGGGTGGTTTCAAAACTCAAACCCAGGTCTCTGTTATGTCTGAGCCCATGCACTAACCATTTAAGTGAATTTTTGTCAAAGACCATTCAGATAGTCAAAGATGTTTTTTTTATTTGAACAATATAAACCACCATTTCCCCAAGCTACTTAGCATATCACCTGGTATATACTAGTTGCTTAAAGCATGCTGTTGAGGAGTCGCAATGTCTGAAGACATACCCAAGGCCATCACTTCTTTCTATTCTCACTCTTAAGCAATCCCAGTATCCAGCCACACTGGTGGCTGCCTCGGAGGCTGCCCAGCAAAAGAGTCACATCTCTACAAAATGACCCTCATTCACTTGCCTGCTAAAAAGCACTCCTCATTTTCCATACTTTGTGATTTTTCCTTTTCCTGTCCAGAACCCACTGAGCTTCCAAACTGTCCCAGAGAGTCTCTTTGACTCACAAAACTTGAAGATCAAAGACTGTGATGAATGACACCCGGCACGTCTCACCTGCCTGTGCTGTGCCTGCCTCTGCCCAGGACTGTTTGATGTTTCTTTGGGCCTTAACAAATAGGGCTCCTTTCCTCCCCCCTCCTAATCACCTCAGGGTTAAACACCTAAGCTCCTGATTCTCTCCTGTCAATGGAACGAATATGACTCACTGAATTCCACTGCCTGGAACCACAAATCAAAGGTGGGGGAAGAATCCGTGGGGGCTGTGAAATCACAGGTTGACTAGGCTGCATTGTTAGAGAGCTGGCCGATTACAAGCTCCTACCCAAGCTTTTGAAACCTGTCTCCCTGTTGGGTTAAAGCCAAATTAGTTCCATCAAGAGAATGAAAAAGAATAGGCTGCTAATAGCAGTTGTATTTTCCCAACTCACATGGACCTATCAGGTAGGGTGGGGAAAGAAGAGCATCTTTTTCCACGGGAAGGCAGACAGTGAGGCTCTGTGTAGTGCCTGCTAAGATCTGCAGGGGGCATTCATGTTGTCAGAAGTTGTCACAACACAGGTAGGAGTAGTCCCCATTACAGACGAGGAAACTGAGACTCTAAAAGTTTAAACTGTGTGCTGATCATGCTGCAGCGCCCTTGGGAAGCAAGCTCTCTATCACTTTGCAACAGGCCAGTCTTCTGCATTATTGTGCTTAATTAAAGGCACAGAGGCTCTGGGGCCTGAGAGGAGCTTCCTTCGCATGGGCATTGAGTCAGAAACCCAGGATGTTCTGCAAACTCAGTGTCCTGGAGACCCTAGAAAATTGCCAACAAAGGTAATCTAGATGGCTTGTTCTTTGGAATGACAACCTCAATGCTCTGAGCTGCAGTTTTCCCTTTTGTGATATCAGAACATAAACACGAGTCTCACAAGAGTTATAGGAGGCTTAAAAAGAGAGGCCAAAATACAAGAAGCCCTGTCAAAAAGGACTCCTTCAATGAATGAGCACCTCCAAGCTCCTCCCAATGAGGGTGGGGGGCATGGAAGATATGGGTAAGATGAGTTGAGGTTGTAACTTAAGGTTGAAAGCTGCGTGTTCTCGGAACATAGGGCCATTGAAGAAGCCGGGTCTAGGAACAGGGGGCCCCGAGCCTTGGCTTCCTTGGATAGATCCTTGGATATGGGGCAGCCCTGTCTCCTGCTGTCAGCCTGCGCCACATCAGTGTCCACTCACAATCACCATGGAGGAGAAGCAGGCTCCACCAAGGGCCTGCTCGCACCCCAGGGCCCCTCCCACAAGGGCCACATTTTACACTTTTACGTAAATGGCGATTCTTTGACTATGTGCTCCTGGGAATTGATTTTAACCTCCTGGGTCCACTTCCTTACTATCCCTCCTTAGATCCCAAATGGCTTTAGCCAGACTCAGTGCCCAAAGACTGGCAGGTGTTTTCCACTTTTAGAACTCCATGCTTTGCCAGCCCTGAAGACACCCCAAGTAATAACTCACAGGACTCAACTCGAGGGACCAGTGTTGCCACAGGCAGCCCTTACTCTGTGCCCAGGAACCACCATGGAGGCAGTGCCCCGTGAACAGCACAATCACAATTCTAGCTTGTTTCCTTTGCTTCCCTGCAGGATAGATCATCCTGCCCCGGCCCCTGCCTCTTGCTCGGCCCATATCTCCAGGGGCCCCTCTCAGCTCTAACTTTCTGTGGCCTCCTGGTCCAGGTGGACCTGCCTGTCTAACGCAGCTGTGGCATCCCAACATCATGAGCGGACCCTGCTGCCTGTCACATTCCTAGCTCGTTCTAGCTTTATTTATTCAGACTCTTGCTTTTGCTCCTGGGTCACTCACTTCTAGCTTCTGAGTCCTTTTCTTGTGGCATCTCCTGGCTCTTGGGGTGTGGGAACGGGGAGAGTTAAGACAGTGAAAGGCAGGTCCCCGGAGATGTGGTCTCCACTTCTCTGTCAGGCTGGTGGGCTTGGTCACTCCCAGGCACCTTCCTATGGTTTCTGTGTGAACCACATTTGAAAACTCATCACACTGGGCAGGACTGTGTCCACGTCAACGTTTTTCAAACTATTAGTGGTGTAAAATCCATTTCCTCTCCCAATCTATACTGGGCAAAGGTTGGCCTTAACGCACGTGGTTAGTATAGAGCTTGCCCCACGTAGAAATCACCTCTTGAACTCAACAAACTGGCATATAGTTGTCCAACAGGAACAATCTACTTATCACATCCTTGATAATACCAAAAAATCCAGTTGCTCTAGAAGTTTCTAAATGCCTACTATCAAGCTCCATATGTATCTTGTTGCAAACCAGGAACAGTTTGGGGATGGTGATGGTTAATTTTATGTGCCAATTGACAGGGCTGTGGGGTGCCCAGATCTTTGGGTGCTTCAGTGAAGGTATTTTTGGATGAAATAAAAATTTATCTGAGTAGACTGAGAAACCCTTCTCCCATGTGGCTGGGCCTCACCCAATCAGCTGAAGGCCTCACTACAACAAAAAGGCTGATCGTGCCCAAGGAGAACAGTCCTCCTGCCTGGCTGAAACAGTCCTTCTTCCTAGGTCTCCAGCTTCCCGGAATGTGGACTGGACTCACACCATTGCTCTCCTCCTTCTGAGGCCTTCAGGCTCAGAACACACAAGGGTCAGCCTGCATGGCCATGGAAACTCATTGCTTTTAACAAGTATTTGTGTAAACATGCGCGCGCGCGCGTGCGTGCACACACACACACACACACACACCTATTGGTCCTGCTTCTCTGGAGAACCTGATTCAGAGACACAACTGTCTGTGGTGCAGACCTTGCACCGTGGCAATGCCTGATACCCAGTCACTTTATCCCAGGGCCTGGTGCCATTCCTGTACTTACATGTCTGAAGAAGGGTATCATGGGAAGAACTGAAACCTAGACCTTAAAAATGGCATGAAAAGTATGACACGTTTTTACCTCTCAGTTATTTATAGGGACATCTCGGTGCAATATTAAGAGCCAGGGGAGAGGAAGAGACAATCAGGAAAGCAGGCAAGTCCCCGACAGCATTCAGAACAAGAAAGGCTAGTCTCAGTTGTGGTTCTTCCATCTACTCAGGAAGAACCTTGGCCTAAGCTTTCACTTTCCAGGGACTCGGTGTCTCCATAGGTAACATGAGGTACCTGGGGTGTGACTTTAGGTATGGTCACATTACCCAGCATCAGGCTCAAGTTTCTTTCTCTACCCTTTCTCCAGCCTCACCCACATAACCCCGGGAGCAGATGAGTGCAGGCAACAGTAGGGCAGGTCCCTTGGCCTTGGCTTCCCTGTCCCCTCTTCCCCAGGCTTCTATTTGGTAGATATACACACACATACACGTGGCACATCTTGCGATCCAATAACATGTATCATGTGTTG